GTGCCCCTAACCCCCCCCCCAATTTTTTTTTAAGTTTATTTTTATTTATTTTGAGAGGGAGAAATAGAGAGCAAGTGGAGGAGGGGCAGAGACACAGGCAGGGAGAGAGAATCCCAACCAGGCTCTACATTGTCAACGCAGAGCCCAACTCAGGCCTCGAACTCACGAGCCGAACTCACCTGAGCCAAAGTCAGGAGTCAGAGGCCCAACCAACTGAGCGGCCCAGGGGCCCCTACCCTCCCCCAAATATAAAACACGTCAGTACTGCCCCTGCTCACACAGTGTTCTCAAATGGAGTCCCACCCAGGCACACTCACCATGTGATGGCCGCATAAGAAAACACATTCCTGTGTTATCTTCATCCAACCAGCCGCTATAACAGAATTACCACAGACCGGGTGGTTTAAGGAAGGAACACTCACTTGTCTCAGTCCTGGAGGCTGGAAATCCAAGATCTAGGCGCTGGCAGATTCCATGTCTGGTGAGAGCCCACTTTCTAGTTCACAGATGACCATTTTCTAAAACGCCATGCCCTCATGTGGTGGAAAGGGCAAGGGAGTCTCTGGGGCCTCTTTTACACAAGGGCACTAATCCCATTCATGAGGGCGCCACCCTCATGACCTAATCACATCCTAAAGGTACCACCTCTTACTATCATCACATTGGTGGGTAGGTTTGAACATACAGGTTTTGGGGGGACCCAGTCTATAGCATGTGGTCTTACTCAGGTCCCACTGTCTAGGTTGGGGTCGTGTAATATCACACACAGGCAGCCTCAGCTGGGCCTTCCCTTTTCTCTTCAAGTCAAGATGGCATATTAAAAAGCAAGATGCTGAGAGAAATACTGATCTACGATACATTTGGATTCGCTAATTTCTAGTAAAGGGAAAATGCTGCAGGTTCAGTATTTTATTATCAGACGTGATTGCTACTCACTGGTGTGTGTTTTGACACTCAGTGTGAAGTATCCATTTTCCAAAGTGAAATGCCAGCTCTTTACGTGAAGAACCAAGACTATCGGTGATGTGATCCCCATTTACTTCTCAACTTCCTATCTTTTTACTCTATTATCTTCATTTTTTCCCCTTTGATAAAGAGTAAAGCAGACCGTGCTGGCATTCACAGCCAGGCCCCGGTGTTCTCTTATTAAATATAAATGATCATCAGTAAAACTAAAAAGCAACCGACAGAAGATATTTGCAAATGATGTATCAGATAAAGGGTTAGTATTTAAAATCTATAAAGAACTTATCAAACTCGACACCCAAAAAACAAATAATCCAGTGAAGCAATGGGCAAAAGACATGAATAGACACTTCTCCAAGGAAGACATCCTGATGGCCAACCGACACATGAAAGAATGCTCAACATCACTCATCATCAGGGAAATACAAGTTAAAACCACAATGAGATACCACCTCACATCAGTCAGAATGGCTAACATTAACAACTCAGGCAACAACAGATGTTGGCGAGGATGCGGAGAAAGAGGATCTCTTTTGCACTGCTGGTGGGAATGCAAACTGGTGCAGCCACTCTGGAAAACAGTATGGAAGTTACTCAAAAGACTAAAAATAGAACTACCCTACGACCCAGCAATTGCAGTACTAGGTGTTTATCCAAAGGATACTGGTATGCTGTTTCGAAGGGACACATGCACCCCCATGTTTATAGCAGCACTATCAACAATAGCCAAAGTATGGAAAGAGCCCAAAAGCCCATCAATGGATGAATGGATAAAGAGGATGTGGTATATACATACAATGAAGTATTACTCAGCAATCAAAAAGAATGAAATCTTGTCATTTGCAACTACGTGGATGGAACTGGAAGGTATTATGCTAAGCAAAATTAGTGAAAGACATATCATATGACCTCACTCATATGAGGAATTTAAGACACAGAACAGATGAACACAAGGGAAAGGAAGCAAAAATAATATAAAAACAGGGAGGGGGACAAAACATAAGAGACTCTTAATTATGGAGAACAAACAGAGGGTTACTGGAGGGGTTGTGGGAGAAGGGGATGGGCTAAATAGGTAAGGGGCATTAAGGAATCTACTCCTGAAATCATTGTTGCACTGTATGCTAACTAATTTGGATATAAATTTAAA